TGGCGAAGAATGCTGAAAGTACCATGGACTGCTAAGAGAACTAACAGGTCTGTCCTGGAGGAAGTGCATGCAGCTAGAATGCTCCTTGGAGGCCAGAATGGCCAATCTTCATCTCACATACTTTGGTCCTGTTGTCAAAAGGAACAATTCCCTGGAGAAGGATGTCATGCTTGGTAAGGTGGAGGGTCAACGAAAGGGGGAAGACCCTCAACGAGATGGACTGACATGGTGGCAGCGACGATGGGCTCAAGTATAGCAAGAATCATGGAGCTGGCTCAGGACTTGGTGGTATTTCATTCTGCTGTGCATAGGGGCGCTGTGAGTCGGAGACGTCTCGATGGCACCTAGCAACAACAACATATGCATGTTAATTTCTATATTGTGATTAAATGTGTAAGGAGAATTCCTCATAAAAAAAAGTTCAACTTCTTGCTACATCCCCACCTCTCTACTCACTATGCAAATAAAAAATAGATGATTCTATTTGGGTCTTTGACTTTATTTCCATTTAGATAGCATGGTGTGCTTTGAGTGAAATATTAAACCAAGGATCAGGAGCTCCTGATTATCATGCTGGTTGCCACTACAGCTGGGGAGCCACGAGTTTTATAATAATTCGAACTTTCTGCTTCTCCATTTTCTCATGCACCACTAACATTTTTCCACCTATCATTCCCACAATTTGGGAGCTCTGGTAGCATAGTGCCTAAGGTGCTTGACTGCTAACCAGAAGGCTGGCGGTTCAAACCGACCAGCCACTCCTCGGAAGGAAGATGGGGCAATCTACTTCCGGAGTGATACTGCCTCAGAAACCCAAGGAAGGGTCGCTATGAGTCGGTCCGACTCCAGGGCAAATAACAACAACAACGTTCCCACAATTCAGGGATTCTGAAAGTTTTTCTTTAGCACACTGCTGCCCCCTGGTGGATTAGCCTGTTTTTTTCCCCCCTCTTTTTCTTGAAATCATAAAAGAAAGATATTTTTCTTTTTCTAAAAGGTATTAAATATCCAATTTCAAATACCTAGCACAGCCCGAGAGTAATGACATCATATTTGGGACATGGAAGTAGACAGGACGAAGGAGGCATAGAGAGGCCCTCTGATGAAGTGACAGATAGCTATGGGAAGTCCAAGGCAGAGATGCAGCCAGCATCAAGGGGGACCATGGTGGGAAACAATGGGTACTTAGGTTGGGGACCTGGGTTCAGGGTCATGGCACTAGTTTCTGTAAGTTTTCAGAATGGTAGGGAATCAAAGGCAAGATTCAACTTGAGAGGATAAGCCAGAGACCCAACTCTTCTTGCAGATGTAAAGTGGTAACTACTGGACAAGATGTTAACGACCAAGGTGTTAAAATCAGGTGTGAAGTCAGAGGTGACCGTAGCTAGACTGACCTTGTCACATGTCACATGAACTCTGGGATGGGGAAGGGGAGCACAGTGGTATGAGGACGAGGAAGACACTCAGACTAGGGCACTAGGCAGAGACACTGGTGCTGGGGTAAGGAGATGAGAGTTAGCAGAACCACACAGTGGAGCTGGGTCAGGAAGCGGCGCTACTACCAAGGCCTATGAACCACAGGAGCACTATCTCCTTGGCCTATTCTTAAGCCTGGGAGTCATCCTTCTGTTCCAAATCCAGGTCTACCTCCTGAACTTCCCCGGACTCCATCGCCTACCCCTCATACCCAGTGCCATTCAGGTCCATAGCAGCCTGTGCCTGGGGTCTCATGACAATGTCTTCCTGGCTTTCTCTGCTTCAGTTTCGCATCCCTACACCTCCAACCAACCCTCCAAGCTGCTACCAGTGCATTTTTTCTAAAACACCTCGTCTGCTCCAGACCATCTCCAGCCTAAAAGAATTCACAGGAG